ACTACTTTTCCTAAGGGATTCTCTAAGCGTCGATCCCCACAGTCTGGAATGAGCCCTGTTTGGGGCCTTGAGGGTGGGTAGTTCTCTGCAATCAAAGGTTCCAAAATACCATTTCTGAGAACTTTGTAAGAAGCAGCAAGGGACTGTAGGCCCATAGAGATGAACCGATTCAGCCTCCGGCCCTTGCAGAAATCACTCATTTCCCATCCCAGCCCGTGTCAGGCACAGCTGTGGCTCCTTCCCAGCGTGACAACTTCGTTTAGCCAAGACTTTCTCTGATTTGCCTGAACTAGGACAGGCTGTGTGACTTCGGAGGGATCACTCAGCCTCTCTGAGCCTCGGTGAGAAAAAGGAGATGATAAATGTGTCTCCTCTAAGTGGTGGTACAAAAGCGGAAGTCTGCTCCAAGAACTAGGAATTTCGGAAGGCCGGTATAGGAACTTTAAACAGCTCCATGGTTCACGAAGCAAGGGGAGGAGATGGAAGTGGGAGGAGAGTAAGCAGAGAGGGCTGAAGGACAGACAGGTGGAAAGAACTACCCACCCTCAACATCCCAAACAGGGCTCATTCCAGCCTGTGGGGACCAATGCTTAGAGAATACTTTAGGAAAAGTAGTAACATCTATCTAACATGTAAAGTAGGGGGGAGGGCATAAATAGCTGAAATAGCTGTCACCTGTGGCTTCTGGTCTCCCACACACTCTCACAGGCATGCCATTTAAGGGCCCCATCCCTCCGAGGGGCCATGATTACATACATTCATCTGTTCAGCAGATCCTGGGGGCCTACTCTGGGCCAGGCAATTAATAGATAAGGAAGCTGTGGAGGGGATGGTGTCTCAGAGAGGTTGCGAGAAGTTCCCCCAGGTAACACAGCCAGTGATCGAACTGGAAGAGAACTCAGGGATTTGGGGTGAGGTGTGCTTTCCCACTGCACCGAATCCAGAGAAGAAGAGACCAGCGGTCTGTCTCTGAGGCCTGTGGAGGGAGTTCTGAGCCGGAGCCCCAAAGCCAGACTGCTGGGCTGTGAGTCCCGCTGAGCCCACCAACTTAGCTGGGTCAATGCTCCTGCAGTCCTCCACCTCAGTGCTTCAGGTGCCCTCTGCAAAGTGAGGGTAAAGGTGCGGCCACCTCCTCAGGTTATGGCCAGGATTAAACGAGTTAACAACTACAGAAGGCTCAGAGCATGCCTGGCACATGGGAGGGCCAGGCAAACACCAGGTATTATCACCTGTAAACATGCCAGGCTGTACTTTCCGCCCTGCAGAGCCAGTCTCTCACAGAAGGCGTAGGTTATAAATGCTGGCAAAGCTCAGAGGTCCTCCAGCCGGCCCCTAATGGGGGTGTGGGGGGGCGGGGTGGGGAGGGAAAGGAGGGCAGTACCAGCCCAGCCCCAGGAGGGACTTCCCAAGGTCGTGCAGACCGGAGACCTGTCTTCCTGAGTCCTCGCTCGCCGATGCCAAGCTGCCTGCCTGCTTTGAGACCCACGCATTTCATGATGCGAGGCCCTAGGAGAGAGGCAGTGTGTGTGACAGGCAGGGACAAATCCAGGAGGAGGAGAGCTGGGCGTCTTTCCTTCCCGCCTACCTTCCCGGGGGAGGCTAGCTTGCTGGAACCTCCCAAATGGAGAGTTAGGAGGAGCAGCAGTCCGCCTTGTGTCTCCTCCTGCCGATGCCACGCCTTCTCGCAGGGGCTCAGCACATCTGGGCCCGCCACCCCATGCACCCCAAGCTGCCGCAAAGGAGGGTGCTGCGCCTTGCTGGGGATGAGATCACCGCCTGGAGCAGTCTTCCTGCGTGGCTGGGGCTCTGGCGCCACCTTGTGGCTATAGGCCTGCACTGTCTTTGCACAGGGGCTGGTGCCCCAGAGGTCACACTGAATTTTACCCATACCTCTCAGCTATCTACCGGGGATGCAAAGACTTAAGAGAAGACGAGTTTTCAGGAGCCAGAAGGTGCAGAATAAGTAGAAGGCACTTGATCAGAAAATCCTAGACTGGACTCTAGGATGGGAGGCTGCCTAAGCATGATTTCCAAATCAGGTTTCAGACTGGTGCTGTCTGGGCTCCCAGCATCCCTTTGCTCATCAGCACTGGGGAGAGGAGCTCTGGTTTTGCCCTCTCACACCCTTATGTATTCCCATACATTCCCCTGGATGCTCGCTCAGAGGAAATAGGAAGGGTTTTTCTTTGAGTCAGCATGTTCTGGCCCATTGCCGTCCATTGCCCTGGCCAAGATGGGCAGAGGGGCTGGTGACTTGAGGAAAATGGGTGCTGGAGTGACAGGTCAGGTGCTGCTTTTGCCCTGGGAGGGCTGACCTAGGTGAATCTGAATGTGGGTGTTACGTGACCTGGGGCCTGCACTCATAGGCTTGGCTGCCACATCATCATTTCTCCACCTTGGTCCGCTTTTTGAGGCTAGGAGAGGAGGAGCCTGTGGTCTGAGAGTACCCCTGAGAGAGTATAGATGTGTATTCTGGTTTCTGTGGGAGTCTGGTGCCCATGGCATTGTGTGCTGCAGGTGCCCATGTAGGTAGAGCTGAGTGTTGGATCACGGAAACCACATCTGACCTGTGAGTCCACGGGCACCAAGCCTCTGTGGGGCCCTCAGCCAGCACCCCATTGTCCTCCTGCCCTCCCCCAAGCCACCCTCAGATCTGCTCCATCTGACCCTTCCCTCCACTCTTGATTCAGTCTGACCTCCCCAGCTCCTTGTGACCTGTCTCTGTATCCTGCGCCACCCGGCCCAAGTTTGTCATTGCCATCGCCTCTTCCATTTGGCCCTCTCCTTCAGGCCCCGCATGTTGGCACTGCTTTCCTCTCCTTTCCCACTTTCTCATTCCTCCCCCCATCTCTCTCTCCATCTCTTTATGCCCCTTTCCGTCTCTCTTTTTGCCTCTGCTTCCCTCTCTGCCTCTCTCTCTCTCTCTCTCTCTCTCTCTCTCTCTCTCTCTCTCTCTCTCACCCTGGACAGGCACAGTAACCTCCCTGCCCTTTTCTGAGCCTCTTCTCTGCTCCCTTGATTTTGGGAACTTAGCGAGTGAAGCCGAGAGAGAGGCCATGGCTCATGGGAAGTGCCACCGTTAGTGACAGAACTTGGAACAGAACCAGAATCCGGTGCTTCATTCCACTCCCCAGCCTCAGTTTCCCTTTGTGTTAAATGATAATGATAACCAGCTTGCCCCACAAGGCCTGGCAGGGACTCTGGATCCGATGGGCCCAGAAACACCTGCCCTGGGCCTGGTGCGCCTGCCCTTCTCCCAGCCCCTCCCCGGGGTTCCCACTGCAGTCGTCCTCCCCGGTGCCTGCACCTCCTGCCTCCTTGCCTTTGGTTCCCTGCAGAACTGTTTCTCCACGCGCTCCTGGGAGTGTGTCTGTAGGGAAGGTGTCTGCCCCAGTTCCCCTGGGTGCGCCTGCAGAGATGCTGCGCCCGAAGGCTCCTAGGAGTCCAGAGAGACAGACGGCCCATCGGGTGTGGGGTGGGTGTGCATTGCCTGCATGCTGGTGTCGCCACAGGCGACAGAGCAGAGGGCTGCTTTGTGTTCTGAAGTGCATCCTAGGGGACCTGGGGGCACCGGATCATTGTGGGGTCCGGTCCACTGTTTGGAAGTGGAGAGGAGCGTCACCTCACAGTTTTGAATTATTTTACGAAAGTATGGCCATACGTCTTTGCCTCTAAAGCATGGGCTTCAGTCACATGACGCAAGGTTCTTGGAAGCACCATCTCCCACTGCTCCCAGGGAAACACACAGCCCCTTGCGGCCGCCGGCGTTAGGATCCCTCGAGTAAGCTTGCTGCACACGTGGAAAGACAGGCTCATGTGCTCCTTGGGAAGGTGGGATAGAGAATGAGGGGTGAAGTTGGAGGGGCAGGCAGGGTCCCCTGAGCCAAGGGAGGAGGCGGGGGTTTGATTCCAAGCATGACAGGGGCTGACATGATTGCATTTACAATTTGCAAGGAACACCCTGGCCACTGTGTGAGGAGTGATGTATCTGGGGCCAGAGTTGGTGCTGGGATACAGGGAGGACTTCACTTCGATGCAGGCAAAAAGGGGAGTGGGGGGGGGGACCAGACCGGTGGGGATGACGGGACAGAGAGAAGGGACAGCCCATGGCCCCAGGTGGGCACCTGACAATGCCAGGCGTCCACTGTGCTCTTAGCCTCTACGATTCAGGCTCGGCCTTGTAGGAGGCCCAATGCTTACATTCCCTGGGATGGTCAGGGACGCATGGGTGGCTCCATCCGATTGGCTGTGGGCTCTGGTTTATGTTGATCTCGATTGGGCCACAAAACCATGCTTTCTGAACATGCGTTTTCCTGGCCCGGCCTGAGACCACTAGTACCTTGGATCCTCCCGTGACTGTTCGGGTAGGCGCGAGGCAGGGAGTTTCCTTACAGGACCCAGGATGTGCGCCCACCTTGCTCATCTCCCTAACCATCCCTAAGGTCGACTCTCTCCGCGTGTTAAAGAAGGGCAGCAAGACGCAGAGTTGGAGTGATTAGTCCGAGGTCCCCTTAGCAGACAGCCGCGTTGGGGTTTGAACCTGCATCCTTTGCCCCGTGTCCTCTCCGACGGAGGGGTCAGTGCGTTGGTCTGCCGGCGTCCTGGACACAGCCTCAGGGTCTCCCTGGTGTGGAGGGCACACGAGCTTTGCTGTCCAACAGCCTGGGGCCAGCATCAAGTTGCTCCACTCGCCGACTGTGGGTCCCTGGCGGTTCCCTGGCTGTGCTGTGTGGGGATTACAGCTGCCTGTGGCCTGTGCCCCGCCGTGGTACTGAGTAGGACCTCCACAAGTGCCACCCACAGCCTTAGCACCGCGTCCACGTCCGTGTCGGTGGGTTCAGGAGACCCCCAGAGCCGGGCCAAGTGTCCAGAAAACCTCAGAGCAAAGGCGAGACACCAGCATCGCTTCGCTGGCTCTGGTTTTGGGGTGGGGGGCAGCATGACCTTTCCGGAGCCCCGCCCCCACCCACGCTCTCTGTTCTGTTCCCCTCTCCCCGCAGGTACATCCGCACCATGTACCTGGGGATCCAGAGCCAACGGCAGAAGGAACACCAGCGACGCTTCTACTGGGCTATGATGTATGAATATGCAGACGTCAACATGCTGCGCCTCCTGGAGACCTTCCTGGAGAGCGCCCCCCAACTGGTGCTACAGCTCTGCATAATGATCCAGAAGAACAGCGCCGAGACGCTGCCCTGTGAGTGCGCCCCCGCGCCCTCATCCCATCTGGGGACCCCCCCCCCCCCCGTGGCCGTTTCCTATACGCTCAGTGCCCTGTGGACTCTGGGGGTGTCGCCCATTCTGATCTCTGAGTCCCTGGGATGCCCAGGCCCCCGGGGGAGGCTGACCTGGCTCACATTGAGTGTATGAGTAGCACAGACCTTTCCACTGCCCACTGCCCACGCCACGTGGTCCTAATGAGTAGAGCAGAGCCAGGGCCTCTAATGTTCCTGGAGCAGCAGAGCGAGGACCCTGGTCTCCTTGGGCCGTTCCTTGGGTGTGGGCCTGAGCTGAGTGTCCCCATGTGTGCAGGATGGGGAGCTGCCTAGAGACGGCACGTGACAGAGACTGAGTCACTGCAGATTTCAGACACTGGCTCTTACTTCAAATCAAAGCTCACATGGAAGCCCTGTGCATAAAGCAGGCTCAGGCCACTTTGTTCTAGTTAGATGGGGGCCAGGGCCTTCACTCTGCCCCTGGCCTTCTCCCTATCCCGGCCCCTGTGGCCCCAGGGGGTCTCCCAGGAGCCCCGGAAGCCCCCAGCACTCAGCCTGGACGGCCCCGGTCTCTACAGCGGCAGGAAGTCCGAGGCCTGGGGAGGTTAGGCTTCCCCAGACAAGGCAGAGTCTCGATGGTCAGACAGGCCTTGCTCTCACCCTCGTGGGCCCTGGTGACAGCATGAGGTGCCTGGGGCAGATGGCCTTCCTGCTCAGGAAGCCTCCATACCCACCGCCCTCAGCTCCCCAGGCCAGGGCAACATGCTCAAGGGGGCACATTTGCTGGGGGGCTGGGGTGGGCCCCTTTCTTTCCCATCCCGGTCCTCCTTTTTCCAACCCTGTTTCGGTCTGAGATTCCCTCCTTTCCTCCTCTTTCCAATCCAAACTGCCCTTTGCTGTTTCAGTTTCAAATCTCCCTCCCCTACCCCACGGCCCAGGCAGCCAAGATGTCCTTCCAATGTTTGATCACATCCCAGCACCACAAATAGACAGGCAGGCGGCAGGGTGACGTCGGGTGAGCTCCCAACAGGGCATTGGTCCCAGACCGGGGTCCTAGTTGCCACGTGCACCCTGTGGTGATGGGTGGAGATGGCCCTTCACCTTTCTGAGGCCTCCTTTCCACTTTGGAATAAGGGGGGACCCTCAGGGGATGCAGTGATGTGATGACCGTGGGTCCCTTTGACACTGTCAGATTCCACAGGAACCTCAGGAGTGTGCTGGTCACGTCCAGGCCTGACGGGAACATCTGGGCAGGTCCTAGGGAGGCCCCCCTCCCCACCTGCGGGCCATCCTCTGAGCACGTCCTTCCTGTGATAGTTCCTTAGACTATAAGCATGGGCTGCACCTGAAGTCCCTGGAGGGGAAGCTCAAGGGGCAGCAGATGTTGCTTCCTCCTGACCTGGGATCCCAGTGGGGCCAAGGCCAGGGGAGGCCAAGGGACTGGTTGGGAGCGTGCCCCTGGCAGGGGCCAGGGCAAGGGGCTGGAGTGGCAGGGTCGCCGGCTCTGGGGTAGCTCCCTGGCCCTTCCCCCCACGAGCTTCTGCAGCTCAGAGGTGGGGTGAGCATTAGCCCACGTTCGTTTGGTGTATGGTGTATAGGTATTTCCCGAAATAGGCTTTCGTGGTTCAATACATTTGCGAACTTCTGGCTAAACAAAGGTCAGCGGCAGACGTTGCTGTTGGTTGTGAATCCCCAAACAGGGATGGGGTCTGTGGTGTAAGCAGGGTTGATAGGAAGAAAGGAGCCTGCACAGACAGCGAGGGGCTTGGCATTTTGCTCGCCCATAACTCCTAGCCCTCTGTCACCACCGCACCTTTTCGTTACGATAAGATGTGCCTTCCCTCTCTCTCCCCATGAGAGTCTGCATGGCACGTGCGTGCTTTAAAGAAAACCAGTTCAAGCATTAGAAACTGGAGGAGGGGAGAGGATGTTGTAAACTTGGGAGGGACCCAATGGTGACTCGGAAGAAATCTACCAGCCCAGACTCCCGGGAGCTCGGCGCACGGCGCACTGGACCGGCAGCCAGCGCCCGCCCCGCTGCCTGATCATGGGGGGCTCTGGGGAGGGACGGCCTTTCTGTGCCTTAGTGTGGTCGGTTCTGAAATGAGGGTGATGTTAGCACCTGCACAGAGGGCTGTCGTGAGCACTGAATGACGTGACAAATGTCAGAGCCTCGTGCGACATCCGGCTGTTGTGCTGTTGGTGGCGGCAGAGCCTAGACCGTAGATACCGTGTGGACTGGTCTGCAGGCTTTCCCAGGGGGACCCCTGCGGACCGGCCTTGCTTTGGCTGGCTTTTGGGGACGCCCGTCCACCTTGTGCCGCTCATGCTAGCAGATGGTGAGGAAGATCACTAACCATCAGTGATCAGTCACCTTAGCTGTGGGTTTTCCTTTGATCTTGTCTAATGCCAGCCTCTCGGACATTTACCATCTCTCCACCTTCTAGTCTTCAGTCATCGCTGGGTTCACAGGGCAGTAGTCAAGCCTGCAAAGTGGATTTGTGTCCAGTTTTCCCATAAATCAGACTCAAGTGAAAAATGTAATAATAATGAAAATGACAATGACCCTTACACATATTATGCTAGAGTCATTTGGGCATGTCAGCGGGGTCTTCCGGAAATCTGATGTCTTGGACTAAACATAAAACATACGGACGCACCATGTACACTAGTATGAGTCTCGTGTCTGCTGGCAGCTCTGTTCTCTGTCTTCCCTGGGCTTGGAAGACAGTCCGGAACCGTGGGCAGTCAGGCGGAGGTGCAGACGAAGTCCACCTTGGCCATTTACCGACATAGGATACGGGGCAAGTTAACCTCCCAACTGGGTGCCTTTGTGCGTGAAGGGGGCATAGTAACTACGTTGGGAAGCATCGTGGAGGCCTCATGAGCTGCACCTTTGCTCTCCAGGACCTTGCCTGGCATATTGTGGGTAATTTATATAATCCGTCATTCGACAAAGATGCATTCCTAGTAAACTAGGCGCCCTCAACGTGCCGTGGGCAACACAGAGCATGGCAGACGTGGCCCATGCCCTCATGCATCCCCCAGCTCAGGGGAGACAGAACAAAAACCGTGAGACAGAGGACATTTTTGGAGCAAGCAAAAATGATGCTGAGGCTGAAGGACACAGGGTGGAGCTCAGGGAAAACCTCTCTAGATAGCTGGCATCTGGGCTGTGTGTCCATGAGAAGGAGCCAGCTCTAGGAAAAGAAGAAGCAGCCTTCCAGGCAAAGAGAACAGCACACACAAAGGTCCTGGGGTAGAACAGGCCTGGCTTGGTCTAAAAAGTGTACGGACCCAGCGTGGCTGGAGGTGGGCAGCGGGGAGGGGCTAGGGAGGAGAGAGGCAGGGGAGGACCGAGAGACAGGCAGGAGCCTGGCCAGTCAGGGCAGGCTGGGCCCCACAAGGAGTTTGGGTGTAAACCAAGTGCAATGGGAAGGCTTACAAAGGAAAGCTATACAATCAATTTGCTTTTATAGATTTCCTTTCCTGCTGTGCAGGGGGCAGAGCCGGAGCTGAGCCAGGAGGACCAGCTTAGCAGCTGCTGCTGGGACGGGGTGGGGAGGTCCAGCCATGAGAGGATAGAGTTGAGCGTTTCTGGGAAATGATGCTGAACGTGCAGATCTGATTGGTGCTCTGAAGAGTGAGTCAACAAGACGTAGCAGGGCTGGTGTCCACAGTGAGAGAAGTGTGCTCACGGGGGTTCTCACTGTGTTGAGATGGAGGAAGGAGAATCGCAGGAGCACGAATCCAGGGTTAATAGCTTGTCACCTTTTCTTACTTTTGGGTTTTCTGATGCTTAAACGTGAACATTAGGAGTGGGTGGGGCACTTATTGCACCTACGCACCTACATGGCACCTGATTCTGCCTTTTTGTGGTTAAGCCCACACTGAGGAGTGACCTACTTATGGCTCTGATGACCACCTTCCCGGGCATCACAGCACCACCATTTGTCTGGCACCTGCCAGGGGCCTGATGCATTGGGAATGGGTTTGCAAAGAAACGTCCCTTAAGAGAGTTTATGGTTTGATGCAACACATTTAAAATTTTTTAAAAATATATTTTATTGATTTTTTTACACAGAGGAAGGGAGAGGGATAGAAAGTTAGAAATATCAATGAGAGAGAAACATCGACCAGCTGCCTCCTGCACGCTCCCCCTCCCCCACTGGAAATGTGCCTGCAACCAAGGTACATGCCCTTGACTGGAATCGAACCTGGGACCCCTCAGTCTGCAGGCCGATGCTCTATCCTCTGAGCCAAACTGGTTTCGACAATTTTAAATTGTTTGATGACTGTATGTACAGAGGAGTGAGTTCCTGTGGGTGTGATGGAGGAGGGAACATGTGGTCTGGGTTTTGATGGGTGAATAGGAACTCTTCTGAAAGAGAAGGTTGAGGGGCTCTCCTGGCAGTGGGACCACAAGTGCCAAGGGACAGAGGCCAGGGAGCATGGAGTGGGCAGGGATTGGGTGGCTCTAGGTGCCAGAGCATAGGGTGTATGGCCCTGAGTGTGGACATAGTAGTGGTGATGATGATGATGATACCAGTAACGTCAGTTAAGACTGTGTACTAGAGACCAATTTAAGAAGTTGACATGGATTAACCCAGTAAAGTCCCATAGCAACCCTATGAGTAGATGCTCTAATTATTCCCATTTTATAGGTGATGAAACTGAGGTCCAGAGAGGTTAAGAGACAGCCACAGCTTATCATTGACAAGGCTGGATCTTGACCTAGGAAGCCAGCTCCAATGCCTGTGTCCTTAGCCAGGGTGGCTGTGGCTGAGTCTCAAAGATACAGGCATGTGTGGATTCTGCAGGAATGGGTCACTGATGCGGGAAGGAAGCAGAAGTTGGCATGCGTTACGGATCTATCATCTTCAGTGTACATATGTGTGTGCATGTGCATGTGTGTGCATGTGTATGTGTACCCCCGAGACAATCATACTGGTTAGTACAGCAGACGGTGCTTCTGGAAGCT